GAGTTGTACGGCCGCACCTCCCAATCCTGGCGAGCAGACATGCAGGGACACGATGACCCACACAGCGATAACTTGTCCCACAAGCTGAACATCTCTGAGCAGTGTTCTACGCGTACGGCCGCACACTCCAAATCCTGGCGTATTCCACAATTCTCACACGAAATTTGACTAAATATAAAATAAATATTGAGCGAGACTGATAAATGACATTTTGGATTTATGGCACGCTCTCTGGTTTAGACATTCATTTATCGGAACTGTCTGGGCTAAGCAAATCATAAATTTTAACCAACTTTATTAATTATTCTGTGTTCAATACTTGCAGAATGATTAATGAGTTTTGAATATTACGTCCTCTCCTTTGACGTAAAACTTAAAAATTACAAATGCAGGCACATTTTTTAAAGGATGTTATTTAAAATTAAATTTTTATGAGGTGATTGAGTTTCATGCGATTTTCCTCACAGCATTTTTGTTTTACTTTAACCTGTGTTCGAGTTAAATAACATTGTGTTGAGGGAAATGGTTTAGTACGGATTTTATTTAAAGCATAGGTTATAAAACACTGATTTAAAATTTTTCACATTAGGATTAACCCCATCAATCTTATTAAGTATCTTCAAAACGGAAAAGTCTCTAATTAGGAGTGAAGGTTTTTAATAGATGATCGATATGAAGCCACGAAGAATGTCTTTGGATAATTAATGTCAGAAAACAGGAAATCAAGATTAATACGTCTCTGTGGTAGATAACTAGTTGTAAGCTCAGAATAAAAATCAAGTAAAATGTGTGACCTCGTAGTGGATTGCTACGCTAACAAACCATGACTATGCTCAGTAATCTCTATGACAGTTTCTTCAATATTTGAAAAGGTTCCCAGAATTACCCAAGTTACTGTAAAGCTATAGATAGAACAGACCTGATGTGGAATGCGTCTCTTCGTTTGATGTTATAGTAGGGATGAACATCAATGGAGTCCTGCCCGCTAGAATGTGATCGTCAGACTGTCTTCTGAGGGTGTTTTGGGTTCTGTGTTTTGATCCTGATTGTCAGGGACCTTAGCTCTTATAATAATTTCGGGTATGATAGCCACTTAATAACAGTGGTCATTGATTGGTCGAGAAGTCTCTGAAATGGGGATCTCACTTGCTCCTAGACCTGAAGTGCTTGCCTGCTTTTGCCATGCTAAAGTTGTGTTCACCACAGCCTCCCTATGAATGATTAAATGGGGAATTTTTCGACCCCATCTGTTCGGATTATGGTTTAGTTATGCGAGCCAAATGAAGGAGTCAAACTGGTTGCAAACATAAAGGGTTTACAGACATGTGGAAATAAGGTAGCATTGAACACCCTAATTCATTGAACAGTCATCACATTAGCTATTTCGGAAATCGAGATGAAGCTTATAGTAATTTCAGAGCGTAGGGAAATTTTTAATTTGTCTCAATGCTGAGAGTGATGCATTCTCCCCTCTTTACTTTATGCCAGGAGTTTACTGTGTGTTACAAAATGGCACAATACTAACATATTAAACTCATGGATTAGATCCCACGGGTTCTTAAGTGATTTCATATCTTTCATGCATAAATGTTTTTGATTTTTATTTAAATTTGTGGTTGGTCATGCACTACTGCTAAATGGTACTAGTAAGGAATGATATCTCTTTTACTTCTGTGAAAATAGCCACATTCAGGAAAATTGCAGTTAAATAAGTGAAAATGAAAAAGGAAGTGCCAAACAGTACGCAATACTCATTATGAGAATATGGAGATTTCAGAGACCGCAGATTTAAAAAAAGGAGAAACTTAATATCCTCATTTTATTCCTCACATATTAGTTAAACTAAACGTTTAAAATAACCTTTTCACGTTGAAGACTTATCACAGCTTACCTAGAATCACGCGGACGAAGGCTATTTTTATTAAGGTTATTTTCAGAGTAAACCAATTGGTGAAATAGAAACTGTAAATATAAAAAATATGACTTTAGTGAGTTGCGTTGACGTTAAAAACTTCACATCAAAAGGCCCAGTTCATGAGAAATAGAGGCTGTATTGATGCATTCATGATATTGGTAATTTTATAAGAATAATGTAAATATTCTTGGTCAAGTCTTCGGCAAAATAAATAGTCACTTAACGCTACCACCGTGCTCTGGCTCAAATATTGAATCACTTGTAATTTTAAGTGTTAACAGAAAACAGTAAGAAAAATTTGATTTAACAACAACGTTCAATGAAATAAGACTGTCAAAAATTTCAGTATCTTACATTAAAAAGTATTCGCAATTCTTATCACTGCTGGAGAAGACCGCGAAGTGATTGACGTTAATGTTTATTAATATCAAGTGGCGGACTTTATGATAGCCACCATTAACCCTTTGGCTGACTTTGAGAGGTGAAACATTAAAGCCACAAAAAGTTTAGGGGAGGGGAACAGAAAAGTGATTCACAGATGTAAAAGAGATAGACAGACACAAAGATAAAGAAAAAGGTAAGATGAGTACGGTAAAGTGGTGGAATATGCCATACAGTGTGGTCATGGTAGTTCGATGTCAGATTTCAATTGGCGGTTTATGGACTTTTTTGCAGTATGAGTATTCGTTGTCCAGTGTGCACCATGTGGAGGAAAGTCTATCGCACACATCATTGACGTTAATATTCTAATGGGAATATTATTGACTAGAATAATTTATAATTATGACTATTTGCACAAATGCAACGGATCATTTAATTTGTTATACCAATTGAGACATCACGAATTTCCTAAGCGTCAAGAGGACTTCTCCGACTACCTGAATCTATATTTCTTAGTAAACTCTTTATTCCGTTATATATATATATATATATATATATATATATATATATATACTTGCTCACTTGTCTACTAAACCAAAACAGTCACAAAGTGATCCATAAAGAAGATAAATCAGATACCTCGACCAAACATTCTATCATCACCCTCACCCACTCACGCAGTTGGAGCACTAAACCAGCTTCTTTCCCTATAGTTCTTCATTTCCACTCAATTCCTTGGTAATTTTAGTGTTCCACTCAGAACTCTCGTTCGTACGTTGTGCGAAAGTTGGCTGCCGCCTTCTATTAGCTTGTAAGATGATTGAATAGTGAAGATTACGCCTGAAAACCTATTCTTATCAGATTTTAGAGTCAGCTTTACTTGGGATTACTTTTCCTGCTACATCAAGATGTGTGTTAGTAAATTAAAGGCTGTGATGCAATGCCAAGAATGAATGACAATGCAAACACGTCTTTTGGCCGAAATTCGTGATTTATGCAATAAAATATTGCATTTTTCGTAAAACTTGAAACAGAACTGCATTATGTGATTGGTTCCACAGTAACCCTGTTTAAAGCATCTGACCTACAATGGAGTAATACGGTTAGCGATCCCTGAATTTTATATTCAGGCCTCAAGGGGTGTGTGATAGACTTACCTCCACGTGGTGCACCCTGGGCAACGTATATTCATACGGCTAAAAAGTCTATAAATCGGCAGTTGGCCTTTAACTTCAAACTACCATGACCCCACTGTATGTCATATTCTACCACTTTCATATTACTCACCTAACCTTTTCCCTGCCTTTGTGCCTGTCTACCTCTTTTGCATCCTTGAATCACTTTTCTGTTCCCCCTCTTGAATTTTTCTCACGTTGATGTTCCTCTCCTCCTCTTGAATTTTTCTCACGTTGATGTTCCTCTCCTCTGTGAAGCCCGAAGTCAGCTAAAGGGCTAATGATAACTATCATATAGCCTGCCATTTGAAATAAATAAATATTCAGGCCTCGAGATACTTATGCCAAAACAATGGATAGAGTAGTAACAGTGTAATCGAATTCTCTTAATTTTGCGCAAATTGACATCGATTTTTTAATTTGAATAGGCAAAACGGAACGTACAATAAACCTGACATTGGACTTTCAGCCTTAAAATTATGCAGTTAGTTTAAACAAGTGGTACTTTATTCATACATTATTGTCAATCTTATGTCCGCAGCTTTGATGTTGCACGTGTTATTCAAATGCCAGTGCATAATTCCATAATGATCAGGCATGCCCAACTCCTGGTATTCACGTGTCTGGCATGCCTGACCCATCAAGCGGCCTCGCAATTCGCGTACGATGGTCCCTATTACCACGAAGTTTTGGCAGGTGGCTTAGTCGATCTGCCATGCTACTTGAGTACCCACGCCAAAAGAATTGCTCTCAAATCATTCAATTCTCCAATCCGAAGGTCTGACACACTGCGCTGGGTTCATAGGAGGTTTGATAACATGGTTGATCCGTGGACAGGAGATGGGAGACGCAGTTATCTCAAAGTCGGAATTCTACAAGCCAATGATCCTCTAGTTGAGGAAATGGGACTTTTGCACATACCGATGGTTTCAGGGGTTGGCCTTCGCATTGTGGCTGTGAATCCATCTGTTGCTGGACTGTATGCCTGTATTCTCTCAACACAACCTTTCGACAGTGGACTACACTTGATTGGTGAAAATGACACTCTACTGTCAATTCATTCATTGAGGGTGAAAGAGGTGGACAGGTTAACTTCTGAGGAGATTTCAAGGAGAAAAGTTAAGCGAATCAGTGTGCAAAGAACTCAATTCGAAGAATGGACCTGGGTAGTTAATCCGTCAAAGAATATTCTTTCAGATGGAACAGTTTTTAAAAGTGAGTTTGAAAATCGGACCTGGGGTTCTTGCACACTTTAAGGACCAAGATAGAGTGTATGTGAATTTGGCTTCCCATGTCCACCTTTGATCTATCTGTGGGCATATTTACCTTTTAGCCAAAGTGACTCCATTTTCCACGCCATAATTGTGCTTAAAACTAATTAGAAGTAGTTATAATAGTGAGGAGAGAGAAAGCCCAATTAAAGTGTCTCACGAAGTTCATTTTGGGTCGAAATCACTTGATTTCGTGTTCTGAAGTTGAACAAATCAATGGTTATGGTCACTTAATGTGAATCAGTTTAGTTCAATAGAACTATTTGGATGATAATCATCGTCTCATACATCTTTCGCCTTCACTTTCTAGAGACAATTTAAACTCTTGTTCGATTTGCTTTTATTTGTGTGGTCAGTAAAGAAGATTGCAGGTGTCTGACATCTCAATTTTGCACCAATTCTGCCGTTCAACTTTGCTGCCTTCTTTCATAGTAGTCCCACTTAATTGATGGCCTTGACCACTAACGTGGAGCACAATCATATCAACCGACACGCCACTGGTGAATTAGTAGTAATAAATGGGAAAGCAGAGTTGTGGTACAGAGTTATCTGTGGGGGAAACAAACTCAAATGGAGTGGTGAGTAGGGGAGTTGCATGCAAGCTGATGTGGATCGAGGAGCGGTAGATTTCAGTTGAATGGCCAATTTCCAGCTTTTTTACAGTATATGGTTCACAGTTGCAAAATTAAGAAGCCAAAATTTATTTTATTTTGAAATTAAATTAGTTACAAATATAACACTCAAAGTGTTGGACAAAAATTTTAATTCTTCTTGATTAGATGAATCAAGTAGATGGTTAACAAGAATTGATCACAAGGCTGCGGAGAACATCGTAGGGTCTGGAAGTTGTGAAACATTCACTAAATAAGCAATTTACGAAACAAAATTGGAGTTCCAAGAATCCTCACCCGGAGTTTAGAAAATGTCCCTCCAATGACTGGGAGGGCCAAATGGACTCACTTGATATTTACCTACTCACAACGTGCAAATCAATGCACGACAAATATTATGTTACTTCACATAACAAGTTAGCCCAACACCGAAGCTAGCATTCACTCAGTTTGCTTAAATGTACTACACGTAAACTGTTTCTGTTCACAACTTTGTCAACAATAGATGTGATTGGCATGTCCAACAACGAGATTATCGAGTAACTTGCTACATTGAAGGAACATACTTGCCAAATGAGCAAGTGGAATTTTAGAAATATTAACAGGAACCAAGTAAATGAACATTTCAACATTCAAACTCACTTGGACTAGAGTTTGGCAAATAGTCTGCAGTTCATTGTTTCAATTGGTTGCAGGACAAGTATTCAGTTTACAAGAGACCACAATCAGAACCTCTCACTGCAATCTAAGTTGCTATTGTGTTCTTGTTAGTAGTGGTGATTACTAAACAGAGAATGCAAGAAGTTCGTCCAAAATGATTTCTCACGAATTTCGAAAGTACTCAATTGAGTGTCGGTAGAAATTATAACTATAACTATTTGATTGGTGCACATATATTACCATGTTTATTAATCTTGCTAACTACAGAATGTAATAAAGATGTCAACTGAGTTGGATTCCAATTGTGGAGTTATACTAGACAGTGGGATTGAAATGGAAGAAATCGAGTTGAAAGTATCTCCCAACTACTGAAGTTACGGAGATCATGGGAGTAACGAAATGTAATTGACTGATATCTGCATCAAAGATAAAACTTGAAACAACGTGTGATATCCAAATCGAATCCTTTTAGGCTAAATGGCTTTGAGATCACTATGTTTATGGAGCATTAGTTTGGAGGGCTGCTATTTAACACACTGGCCTGTATAATGTTTTATCATGGAACTAGGTCTGTTTGTCTGTAAACAAGATCAAGTGGGCACCATGAGCTACTATTTATTGCGCTATCTTCTAACTTGCGTTGAATGACGTCAATTTAAATCGCTTAGAATATTTCTACTTGAGCTTCTGTCCACTTCTCAATTTGAGAATATTGGCAAGCGATTATGCTCTAAAATTTTACTCATGGTGATTACTTAACTGATGATGTAGACATTCGTTTCTTGCGGTCTATCCCTCCACCTCACCCTCTTCAATTAACTCAAATCTTGATATTCGCCAACCAATACCTTCCTCTTTACCCTCTTCTCCGTCTTCTAAAACAGTGGACTGTGGCTACCTGCAGTTAGCTGATAGTATTTGTCCCTGACTCCAGCAAGACTTCCTTACTTACATTCAATGAGGTGATTTGTTCTGGTTTTCTGCTGTAGGTTTTGATTCAGATATTTCAATTGTAAATTTGTCTCGTCAACAATGATTGACAAATTAATTTAGTGGATTAACAATCTTGATGATAAATAAAACTGAAGCAAAAGATAGTCCAATATCTTTGCAGGCAAACTATTCTATTTTCAGTTATGCAACATCAACAACATCGAAACACTGCCATTAAATTTGGCACAAAGGATATAAAATTAATTGTAAAATGATATCATTGACAATTGTCGAAATTAAATTAAATTAAATTCTATTTTTAATTTACTTAGTTGATTGCTACGCCGATATCGCTCTAACCGGTTTGGTTTTACGTCGAGTCTCTGGCAAAGTTGTTCGTATTGGCTGGAAATTTATTCCAAGAGAAAACAATACCTACATTGATGTAGTAAATGCTTCAAAAGATGGTAGCGAGTGGGATCTTGTATCTCCCGAGGAGTTCTTCCATTCGGAAGAAGATGAAATGGAATGGTTGAGGACGGTTTCAGTGGATGAAGACGATGAGGAAGGCGATCAACAAGGGGCTAACGAAGATGAGATAGCAGAAGGGGATTTTGATATTTTAGAATCTTGGACATTAAGGACTGCTTTCTTAGAAGCAACTATGCGGCGATGGAAATCTCGTTGGCTTCGACTTGATAGAGAACTTGCATTAAGAGGATCTGGATTGTGGCAATGTTGGTTGGAAGGAATTGACCTCTATGAACCTAAGTCAACCAAAGTGAGTTTTTTAATATGTATTTTATTTTAACTAGAGTGTCTCTTATTTTCAAAGATCTCTAATGCTCCTTTAACTCATTCAATAGCTTAAAATGCAAGACTCTTTCAAAATGCAGATTATGGAGAGAGCTTTTTAGGCTTCGAAACTGACATTTTAAACCCATTATTTCCATGAAATGCATGTTGGAAATTCATCTGGTATACCTTTGAAAATAGGACAAACGCTAACTTTCATTGTGATTAAAACTATGAATGGTATTTTTAAGCAAGCAAGAAGTTGGGTTCGCTATAATAGTTTAACAAACACGGGTAGTTCTATCATCACATAGGAGGTCACATAAATGACTCACTTTATTTCATGAAAGTTAATCCGACCGGTCAGTGGCAATGGTTAATCCGAGTGAAAAAGACTGATGGGAGATGCGAAATAATTTTAGTCGACCTGGCCCCAAAAATACTTTCCCTAGAGCATTGACAAGTGATGCCAGCATTTCACATCATGAGAAAACATTAAAGTAAATATATATGTAAATTCATTTCAATCACTGCTCATACCTCAAATATGAAAACTATCTGAGTGATCAGTTTATGTTGATGCTATCAAGTAGAATTAAGCAGAATGTTTGATGGTTTTATTGAGAAATGATCGAAGAAGCAGGATGTGAAGTGTCGAATCGGATTTTTAACAAGCGTGTGCCTTATCCAGGAAAATTTAATTTATGGAAATGTATAACCTAATTAGAGGAGGTAGATTATCTTGGTTATTTAAAAAGAAAGTTATTTAACTGGGTTTTCGTGTTAGTTAAGGAAATTCTTTAGAATTAGGATTCCCAGCTTTAGAAAGTACGATGAAAGTTTTGGAATTCGATTTCACTTAATTAGTTGTCCTTTGGGTAGTAATTTAGTTTAGGAAATTCCACAAAATATCAGAATTGCGTGGAATGGTTTCACTTGAATTTTTAATAATCTTTCCTGCCTCCAATCGCTAAATTGATCGCAAGGGTCGATATGCTTAAATTCATCTCGGTCATTTGGTGTTATGATTTCGCTTACAACGTATCAAGTTACACTCTTGCATGTTTCAAAGTACGTCGATAACCAAGCTACTTTCCATTCAAGGAGACCACTCTAATTTGTCGATATAGTAAATCTTTGAATTGGAAAATTTTCTCTCCGAGATAGAAAAGTGAAAAATATTGCAATATATATTTTTTGAGGAACAGTAAAAATGTGTAAGTACTGCTTGATTAGAGGTTTTTTCATCGAAAGTGTCACATCTAAATCGAATTCTGACTAACTAGAGCAATGGAATTACCTTTTGTAGCATGTAAGTTCAAAATCAGTGTGATAGCTTTTGTCCACTCCTTCTGAATAAGTTGTGAGTTTTCCCTGACAAAATCGGTTCAGGTATCTTCTTCAAATGTCAAAGAGCAGCACAATAGACATTACTAGATGCTTTATCACAATTTTTGCTGGGTAGTCAACTCCTCCGCAGGACCCCACTATTTCTGATACCTACTCACCCTTGAATCTTGGGGTTAAATGAGGAAGATTGTGCGTTAAAATATCATAAATTGAACTCTTAGCCTTATAAGACAGTGGGTAAGTAGATACTCTCAAACACAATTACTTAAATATTATGTTCGCCCGAGTTTCATGCCTTAAGTCATACACTTGTTGCCATACCAAGGCTGAATAGTGTACCGTTTTAACCAAACCGCGGGCATTACTACAGAGGTTTTCCGAAAGTCCGGTTATTTGGAGTTATACGCTCAAATGCAGTCTTACAACTTTTCTCTTTTTGGGACTGAAGTTTGACTCTCCAAATGCGCAATACGCGCACTCTAGGCACACACGGAAGCTTATATAAATATATTGCTTTATCGTTCATGGGAGCTTATTCGGGTGTGTGGTTGTTCGGTTAC